TTTCAATTTTATTTTAGGTACATTGTTCTGGAAATTCTTACCAAAATAAAAGCGAATAATTTTTGCTCAGTGGTAGACTAAGTTTCTTTATCCAAAAATCACCTGTGTCTTCTTTGAAAAGCTTTTACATTATGGCTGATGATTGGGAAGCAGCTCAGCTTGGACAGGGTTGCCAGGAAAAGTAACTAATAAAAAGCAAGACCAACCAAAAGATTGATTACACAGATTCAGGGGGTCTCAAGTTCCTAAAAGCTGTGCTGGAATTGTGGCATTTTTTTTTTCATCTGAAAAAAGTAATTTTATTTGTTTTATTCAGGATATTGATAGCAGTCACCCCTGGGATGCAAACATCTACATTGTTACAACAGATGTTGGAACAATTGGAAGCTATGCAGTTAAGCTACGTGTCATCTTGCTTCATGCAGTGGTTATAATGACTCATTAACAATCCCAGACTTGCTCATGAACTCATGTAGCTCTTAGGAAGATTGACATTTTTAATTACAGGCCATATAATAGGAACGTATGAAAAATGAGTAAGTTAATACTTTTTTTTTCTGAAGGAATTTATCACTGTGTGTCTATGGGTATAGGTGTGGGCGTGAGTGTTTATGAATATTAGCTTCATTCTGAATTTAATTTCAATCCTTATATTTGGAGTTAAATATCCTGAAGCACTATTGTATCTTAAGAAAGATTACAGTACATTCTAAAACAGGTATAGATACTTTGTTTAAAATATCTCTTTTGACAAGTCAGAGTGTAACATCAGTAAAAGAAACGTGTTTTCCCCTACCACATTTTATACTTCGCCATTTAGCTTCATGAGAGAGAATTAAGTAAAAGTGACATAAAAGATGAACTATAATGGAGCGTTTCACTTAAGAATTATGGTACAGTAGAACCTCTGGTCACGAATGCTTCTGACCACAACCAAATTGCGTTCTGACCAAAAAATTCACATTTTTCCCCCTGCGGCCGATTTCCCCTTCCATGCCATTTTTTTTGTAAGCGCCAAATTTCCAAAATTAGGGTTGGGTCATGACCAAATCGGGTTGCGACCAAAGTTATGGAACGAATTATGGTTGTGTCCAGAGGTTCTACTGTATATAAGTACTGAATAGATACAAGGAAGGATGCCCCTGAACTGATTTTAAACTCTTTAGCCAATTCCTGTTCTCTCACAGAGCATATCTAGTATTCTATTCATCACAAAGTACTTGAACAAAATATTAACAAGGTTAATACAGTCCATTATGTACAATACAGACCAATTCTTAACTCACATTATGGAACATGTTACCCTAATGCAAAATGTACCAAATGAGAACACAACAGTGAATGAGCTAGACTACTTTTTAAACAGGACAAGGATGGGCAAAGAAGAGTTGGTTATATAAAAAACAATTAAATATATGAAGCTATGAGAATGACACCAATATATTTAAAAGATAACAATTGTGTCATTAATGATTACCGTAATAATTGTCAGCTGTGAAGCTGGCAAAGCAGAACATAAAAATAATTTCAATTTCTGGTATTTATCACTAGTAGGGTAATGTACACAATCTTGAAGACCCAGATCAATTCTCCAGATCAGCTTATACCTAGTACAATTAAGGAATTACACTGAGTCAATTTCTTACAGTTTCCTCCCTCCTCTGAACGCATGAATCTCTTCTTTAAGAGACCGGTTTCCTCTTTTAATGGTCTTGCTGTCCCCTCTGTGTTCCCAAGGACTGTTTGGCATTCCATCACAATAAACATTACTATGTATTTACATTTCTGAATGAGCATATCCACATTCTCATGATAAGAACTTTTTTTTTTTTTTTTTGCAATTGTCCTATGGAGAACAGCATCATTTATATGATGTAACAACACTACATTCTGGGGCATTACATTTATGCCATGAGTGCCAACAACATGCAAAATGTAATTATAATAGCTGTTTTAGACTTTCTGGACCAGAATATCAGAATATAATATAACCACAAATATTATGAAAAATAAGAAAATAAGAAAAAATAAGATTCCATGCTGTTCTGGTAGTTGCTCTGGAGACCAAAGACAACCCAAAACAGTATGGAGTTTAGAAGAAGAAGAATTTTACTTAGAAATCTCATAAAAAAAGAAACTCATTTTTGGACAGTCTCCAATGTTACTCATAACATGTATTTCACTTGTGGATATCCATCTGTTGCCTGATGTTATGATACCATATGTCTGGAATAAAGACGGGAGAATCAATTATAACTTTGGGGTTCAGAAATCTATCAAGCATGTTATGTACACTTTGTGATGATACTTTCTAAACATTTGTCTATCATGGCTGATGATAAAATGTTGATTAAAATGGATTCGGGTTTTTAAAAGAAAAAATATTTGTTTTCTAAGGAGAGTGCAAACTCTCACCATTTACTTGCACTAAAGTGAGCTTCCAAGTAATGATCTAAAAATTAATCAGTTACAACCATAAACTGATAATACAGTCATATTTAGGCACATTCTAGGTTTTTAAGTGTTTTTTTTTTTAAACCGTGAGCTAGTTATCATTATTCTATGAATACCAGAAAGTTAAGAGCAAAGAAAAATAATCGTGCATGCTGGTATGTTATTTCTATACATAAACTTCTCAGAATGCAATCATATAATATGTCACGCCGGTCCTTGGCAAAGTCTACAATGTTCTAAATAGTTCATAGGCTATATACACTTCCCCACAACATTCATCATTATCCTGGGAATTCCCAGGAGTTGACTGCCTTTTTGTAGGCAGCCATCAACTGAAAAACTATATGTAAGTACAAAATACAAACTGTGGAGTACAAAGCTAGTCCAAACTAACTTACATTTCCTTCCTCCAAACTAATAATCCCCACTGGAAAACCCAGACTGTCCCTTTCAGCAATATCACAGCACCTCCAGCCATCTATTGGAGCAGGGATCTCCAACCTTGGCCTGGAGGACTTCAACTCCCAGAATTCTCCAGCCAGCAAAGTTGGGAGTTGAAATCCTCCAGGCTTAAAGTGGCCAAGGTTGGAGACCCCTATATTGGAGCCTTCAGCTGCTAGTCATCAAAAGCTTACCTCTTACTGCCATAGAATAGAATAGTAATGCTATTCCATCAGCAGAAGTGGATTCTGCTGGTGGAGTAGACTGGGTGCTACTAAGGAATTCCTTAAATCTGTAGAATTCCAAACCCTCGTTGCCTAAACAGGGGAAAATTAGAAATTGATCAATTTCTGTAGTGGGCATTGTGATTTCCTTTCCCACCAACTTTAGAGAAATGGATTAAGAAAGTTAATAAACAGACTGAAGGAAAGGGGGAAAAGAGAATATGCATTTCTATATATATATATTTTTGCAGTATTTCTAGTTTTGCAGAGTGTTCTGCAAAGATGCTTTTAGGTTGTTTTATTCCTTATCAGGAAAAAAAAAATCAGCAGCCTGTAAAGAACAGTCAATTGTCCAGCTCTAGCTAAATAGCTTTTAGTTCATTCAACCAATAGCCAATATCAATTTAAGTAATTTCTGAGTTTTGCTATATGTTAGCTGCTACTTTTTCACATATAAAAATGAAAAAGTAGCTAAGCAATGTCATTGAGATATTAATGCTTTCTGATATAGAGACCAACCTATATACATTCTGTCATCAATTTGAAGTCTTTGGTTGATTCAATTAAGGGCTTTATTATGGAATCTGCTCTAAAATATTGAATAGTATTATTTATATTAGAGTTCAATAACTCTTCTATGCATGATGGATCAAAGAAGAATATAAAAAAAATTACTATAAAAAGCAATGTCAAAATCTCATAAATCCACAAAATTACTTAAGAGTTTTGAAATTTCGCCACGTGATATTATAGGTTTTCAAACAAGAACAATGACATTTCATAAGAAATGTGGAATATAAATTATTTTAAAATGTTTGTTTGAATTTCCATGGATGCTGCTTATGATAGTAAAAAAGTTGTGATGCCCAGGACTACCAATTTTACATTTTCCAAGCTTTGAAGGGTTTTTTAAAGTTGGGAATACAATTTCAATCCATATATTGTATTTGCCTTGATTCCCCAACTTTATTTAAGTGAAGGGGGGGAAATGATTCTGTAATGAGCATGTGAATCATTGAAACCTTAATGCTTTGCCACTGACTACAAGTTGGTAAATTAGTAAAACCATAATTATTTAGTTAAAGCAATCAGTTTTAATTATTTGGGAAAAAAAATAAAAGAAAGTGCCTATATGTAGTAAAATATATCAGCATTGTTTAAAAATAAGGAAGGTTACAATCAAAATTATATTTTTCATAGAAAACATTACAAATTTACGTAACAAATTCCTATGGATTGTAATAGAAGAAACACCCTTGGTCTTAATAAATTCTATTTCCTAGTAAATGTATTTAAGCTTACATTGATAATCAGATTTTTCTGGGTCTATCAATCCAGTGACGTAGCCATCATTGATCTGCAAGCACTAACATACTCAGTGTGTGCCTACCTTGATATTGAGGCAATGGTTAGGGGATTATTTAATTGGACTGGACTTTCCTGTTTCCCATCTTTAGAGAGCTATCTCCAATAAACACTGTAGGCTCTGCAAATCTCCCAGCATGCTAGAACAAAAGAATGTAGCAAGAAACTAATAATTACTACATCTTCATTGGATTGTTCTCATAATTCCTCTGCCTGCACTCCATGTGTGATGTAATGCTATCCCCTTAATCCCCAGTATAAAATATTTTGGAGGGTGGGTTCTGTTTATGTCAGACCAGACTTTATGTATTTTTATGCAAAAAATTATTTTTATTATTGCAGCATTGATTGTGGACTCATGCCAACGATTTCCAGAAACTCCCTAGAGCAGTATTTATTTATTGACATGATACAGAGGTCTTTTCAATGGTATGTTCGCTCTATCTGCATTAACAACAGTGGGCTTTCCACTCACCAACTCCCAGAGAATGTTTTGCCAAAGATTTATTACCATACCTCTTTGATAGCTGTACAAAACTCACTCTGCAGTACTTTTTTAAGTGACTGTAGCTTGTGTCCTGGTAATTCTCCCGATTCTTGAAGTTTCTCTAGTAGTTCAATTGCTCTGGCAATATCTGAACAGATACAAATGAGAGGGAGGGGAGAGAGAGAGAAAGAGAGAGAGAGAAGAAGAGAGAGAGGGGAGAAAGAGGAGAGAGAGAGAAAGAGAGAGAAAGAAGAAGAGAGAGAGGGGAGAAAGAGGAGAGAGAGAGAGAAGAAGGAGATGGAGAAGGAGAAGGAGAAGAAGAAGAAGAGGGGAGGGAGAGAAGGGTGAGAGAGATATTGTTTCAGCTAAAATAGTATAAAGTGTAACATATAGTGAATTTTTACCATGCAGAATCAGTTTAACTTTTTTACTTTATTATGATACAGTTCAGTTCTGCAATTTTGTTTTTCCTACAGTTGCTTACCTAGATAATTAGTTAATTCTGTGCTGGCAACCTTCAAAATACTAAGCTTCTCAAAATCTAACTCAAGGCTATATATAAAACTATAATCTTCACCTGCATAGGACAAAACCAGGAAATTTATTCAGTGTGAAAAGAGAGTTGAAATACTTGGATGATGGGATATATTTCATTCAATGGGATGCATTACAGTCTTTCAAATATGTCAAGATTATTCTGAATTGTGATTTTTAAATATTTTTAAAAATATTAGCTAATCAGCTACAAATTTAATGAGCATCCCTTTTATTTCATCCTTTGGTTAATTCAAAGATGCCAAAAGGCACTGGGATGAAGAGGGAACCCAGAGTGATTACTTGACATTTCTTTCCCCAATGACCATTATTTGGATGCTATTACTTGTAGCTAGTTCACATATACCTGTCAATAGTAGTTGTAGTCTATATTTAGAAATTATCAAATATTTTACTGTGATCAAATACACTACATCTATAATACAGTATTCCTGTGATCTACTAATCCTGTCATTGTATAAAAATAAATAAGGGTAGACTGTCATGGCTTCTTACTGAGAATCCCACATTAGTTCCTTGTGATGATGGCATTCTTTTTACTCTTTTCTGTTTTGAAGATGTACTGCTTAAAAATCTGCTCTAGAAGCTTGTCCAGAACTAACTGGTCTGTAGTTCTGGATAATTCTGGTTTGCATTTCTAAATATTTGGTTAAAATTTGTTTTCCACAAGCACTCCAGTCACAATTCTAATCCCCTATATTTCCATGATACCTATCAAGTTCTATTTGTATTACTATGTAGGATTTAAGTTCTTCCTGTTTGCCACTATGTTCATTGCTATATAGATAATGAAGATGTGGACCGTTACCCTCTACTGGTCTCCCTAATGTCCTATATTGAGGATTTCTAAGTAATGTTTTCTGCCTTGACCTTCACTATTATGTGCAATCTTTATGTACCTGAATCAGTGCCTCTTTCTTTCATCCTATTTAATTGAAAGCTGTACTGTTCAGGGCGGTTTACAAGGTCCTTCCCTACTCTTGCATTTTCTCTACTTAATACCAGATATTCAGATATAAAACACCAGTCAGTTCAGATATAAAACACATATTCAGATTTAAACACTAAATTGAACAATAAACCAAATACTGTAACCCTCCCTAGAACTTAACAGATCAACCTCGTCATTCATTCTTTTTGCAAAAGAAAAAAAAAAAACCCTGTCCTTGTTTGATCCCCTGTTCATTCATGCCGGTTGTAAGCTCTCAGCTGTCTGTTTATTTCTAAAAGATATTGGATAAATGTAATCAGTAATGATGTTGTGCAATATCACTCAAAATGTTCATCTGCTTCATTAAAGCAATGGAGGAAAATAACCATTACTGTCTCAAGCACTCCATGCTCCCTATTTGGATTTGCTCTGAGAAACCATAAGAGAAAAACAAGATTTTTTTTACAAATTCCACTGTCCTACTCCGATGTATTAATGCCTATATGGTTTACAATTCAATTCAATTCAGTTTATCATTTGTCTTTTGTACAAGTTATACATTTGATTAAAAATTAATAGACAACTTGATAAGTAAATAAGTTTAAAAGAAGATACAACTAATACTTGTAATTTGCTGGCATTGCTTTTCTAAGCAGCAATGTGGATGCGTGAAATTTTCACTGTTTTCATTATGTAACTTAAAGCTGATAGATATATATTAATGAACAAATGTATTTTTTCAAAGTAACTATCATTATATTAATTTCTCTGCTTTGTCTAATTTCCAGTTAGCCACGTTCTTTTCCTCCTCTCTTTTCCTGTTCACACTACATCTTAATAGCTAATTTGAAAGTTCAGTTTTAAATTGCATTTATGAAGCCATAACCTTATTCTGTACATAGCTGCACTTAATTATCAATGAAAAGTAGTTATTTTTATAAGGCTTTCTTCATAGTATAGTTTATAGTATGTCTAGAATTTCCCAATAAATCAGTGGTACTGTCAAATTAATGGTTCCTATACATATATTTTAGGACATTATGTTACACTACATTTGGAATGGTTCCAGAATTAGTCATGCTTAGAACAAACCCATTTAAATCAATGAGGCTAAATTATTACTTATTTCACTGACTCTCAACTAACGTAAATAATTTGGACTTAATACATTGATACTTAGTCAATGACTTTGCTGGCTGGATTGTGGCTACTTACATGTTTGCTATTCTCCATTCACAAAGCTCCTCTCTATTCTCAGTTAATGCTTTTTATATTCTATCATTCAGTCTTCTCCACTATTTGTCAGATTATTTTATGTATTCCAAATCCCTTAAACCCTGGAACATCCACAATTCAATCTTCTAGTTAATTGTGTTCTGCACGTTCCCAGTTCTGCCAGAATAGGGCTGTACAGGCTAAATGATAAAGCTTCTCAGATTAAACTGTAAAGTGATTAAATCTTCCATTATTTTGAAAATATATTCTACATAATAAAGAAATAAGTTACTTTGTGCTGCTTTAAGAAGCTCTGTGCTGACAAGAATTGAGGAAAGAAGTTCATGTGCTTGAGATTCAACTTAACCTACCAGTGAAAATTTCTCTAGTTTGAAATAATTTAATGCAAATTTTGGATAACATATATAAAGGTCTCTATTAATGGGAAAAAGGCAGTATAGATTGACAGTATCTTATCACAGGTGAGGAAAAATAGAATTCAAAAGCTTTACAATGCAATCTTATGAAGCTGCAGCTGTAAATAAGGACAAGGGTCTTACTACATTTCTTACACCAGAAAAGTTTCCAGTGACAAAGTGACTGTGTTACATCATCACAATCTTAAACCAGTGTTACTATTTTAGTGAGATTCATTATGATATAGGATGTGAAGTAGATAGGTTTTGGAGGTTATGTGGGTTTTTCTCAGAGGCATGGTGACTGGGTTCTAGTCCAGATTTTTAAATATAGATCTTCTCTACATTTATGATAAAGTCTTGCATCCTGTTCTAATAAAACTATGACAGCAAATTATCATTAAAAAATACAAGAGATGATACAAGGCAAGAACATTATTTCCACAAATGAGATCTAAATAATGGTTGATTGCTGTAAAATATTTTGTAGCAAAGAGAAAAATATTCCATTTACTACATACTTGAGCATTCCATATTACAGTATTATATTAATATAATAATATAATATAGCATAATAGAACATAATATAATATAATATAATATAATATAATATAATATAATATAATATATGTGTGGATATATATGTATGTATGTATATGTATGTATATGTATGTAGTTCTACACACACACACAAAAACACACACACACACACATTGTATAATGTATAATATACATAATGCAATAACAGTATTAGTAACAGCTATTGGGAAGATAGCGTTTTGCTAAGTTTTAATCAAAAGCTAAAGTCTCTTAGCACTTAGACTAAATCATGTGCATTGTAAGCTGACTGAAACCTAAAAGTTATCATATTATATGGTTTCCAGTAATTTCTACATCCCCTTGATTAATGTTTGTATGAAAAATCTTGCAAATGATCTATATAAATAGATGATAAAAGAGTGGAAATATTGACATGTCTATAGGGAAAACTGTCAGAAGTTATTGATAACCAACCAAGGAAAGTGGACCAAGTTCAAAAGGAAAGAAAATCATTGCAATTATTTATCTATCACTGGTCCCAGTATCTGCAATTCTGATTAGCCTGGTTCAGTATTGTAGGTTGTCAGTGCAATTTTCCCTGTTCTTTTTTCATAAGAGGTTGTGGGATATACTGAAACACATGGACTCTTTCCCACTGGGCTTATGTTATTCTACTTATACCATATTTCCATGTAGCTATCTGGTTTGAGTCAAACTCAACTCAACTCTTGGTAACGTCATACGGTAGATACATCCACGTTAGATTTTTTTTTTTTGGCTGTAGTATGTAAAATGGTTTTCCACTGTCTTCTTCTGGGATGCTTGTTTGACTTAAAGGTACATCCCAGCATTCCTTGTTTGTCTCCTATCCAAGAACAAACAGGATGCTATTTTGTTTAGCATCTGAAGCAAGACAAAATTTGTCAGGTGCTACCACTACTGAAATGTAGTTAAGACAGGCAAAACATTGCTTGAGTAGGATACTGCCATGTATATCTATGAGCAGAAGGGACAGGAAGAGAGAAAGAGTGAGGACAAACAATGTAGAGCCAGGTCTCTTAGAAATTGTCTAAGAAATTGTTTAACTGTGCAAACAAAATGCTACCTCTAAATAAGTTCTTCAAATTCTTTTCCTCTGCCACTCTTCTTGATATTATTTACTTTGAGGAGCAGCATTTTCTCTTTTCTATTTCTTTTATGTTACATAGTTCCCTGTTAGTTTTGTTTTCTAAATACAAGCATCACCGTAACTGCATTGGAGGAATAGTTTGTACTGTACTGGATGTAAATCAGAACTTAACTTTTCCCTGTATATGCACATGATTTACTGGGTACCAAGGATGCTGACAGCATTAACATTAATAACATTTCTAAACACACAAGGAAAAGATCCAGTTGAATCATATGGACATTCTTCAGAAATGTTCTGACCTCTACCTATTAGGACTGTGAAGAGCATTCAGAGAGGGACTTTTCAATGTGTGCTAGTGAGAAGAATAATCTCTTTTTAAATTATTAGGCTACATATTTTGCAAGGTTTGCATGCCTATCTAAAAATTGCTCATAGCTGTTTTCATATATGAATGATTTTGTTTCATTTCACTTATGTGATAATTATTTCATTATGCAAATGCATTTATTAATGAACAATTATCTTCAGCTTCATGTGAAATGTTAAGTAGCTTCTAATTAAGTAATTAATTTTGCTTAATATAACATCGGTATTAAATTCTGACCTAAATAATATGTGAAAAGTTTATGTAATTTAAGGATAGGTTTTCACCCCTAGTATTTTATTTATTAATATTTGTACTCTACTTTTGTGTAGCTGATTATTTACCACTTTTGGTACATTCTCATTAAAGTTGTAGTTGCGAAATAAAAAGTTAAGAGTAATTTCAATTCTATTTAGTTTGTAAATAATAAAAAATATAAGTGCAGAGTGTAATGACTATAGTATGTGGTAGTCATACTTTCCTTGGAAAAAAAGATCCATGGTTCCTAATAAACTGCCATCTGTTCAACCTTTTGCTAAGAAATAATTTGTCTTGCTTTAAAGTAGTTCACTGGAATGAAACTGCAGATTACACACTGAGTTTCTAACTATTTGGAAGCAACAGACATCCTTTTTTGTCAACAAACTGCTACTACTAACACTCTATACTCTTTTCTCTTTGCATTAGCTATCATGATTTGCCCATTTCAGAAGTGAATTTTAAGTAAGGTTTGGCAACATATAAATTCCAGGGTTCTTCATTACACTCCAACGAGCTATTCAAATTTATACCGAGAATCTGAATTTTACACAGAGAATCTGAATTTTACACTGAGGGTAAAGCAGGAAATTGGGGATTTATTGTAATTCTTTAATTATTTAAAATTAAGGACAGTTTTAAGAGTTCCTAAGAAGCTTCAGTTATACTGTTTTTAGATTTTTAAATAAATATTTTGAGGCTCTTGAATATTGATTTATTAAAGTGGCCATATTACAAAGGCGTTCCAGTAAAATCAATAGAATTTACATCCTGGGTCACACAGGTAACAAGTAGTATCAAAAAGCAAATAAGAACGTAAACTGTTTTTTCCCTTTATATTCTAATTAACAAAATGTGATGTTTCATTTGGGCAAACAGAGAATTACCGGTAGTTTGAATTAGGGGATTTCCGCCCCCCCCTTCAAATCCAGTTCTATACTTGAACTGAAATTTCTTTTTCACACCTCTGTCTCTTCCACCTGCTCTTCTTTTCATTCCACTCCACTTGTTAATCTGGTGTTTAGTCTATCTGTCCCTCAATTTCATTATCTTTTGGAATTGTCAATCAACATTTTCTTCTAAAAAAAAGTATGTGAGGATTTAATTACAGCCAAATTGCTGTCTTCTGCTTTCATTCAGAAATATGGACTGCAAACATTCTGATAGCTTTAGAATGTGTACATCTACATCAAGGCATCTGCATTCTGCAATAAACTGGTTATCAGTGGCATGCAATAAGGACTGCACCTCAAATTTTAGTTTTGCAAATCTATGAAATTTTTCTCATCTCAGATTAACATACTGAATGAAAAAGGAAAAGGGGGTTGACTCATGATCTCTCCCAGTCATGGACAAAACATAATCCATAGCATTTCTGCCACAGGGGATAACATATTGATAGAAAGCAGTTATAAATAGCAGTATAGGTGGGGATGCTAGCCCTTAGTGATTGTGTCAAAGTTATGGAAATCAGATTAACAAATATCTTTTTGCTCTACTGGGTGAAACAGTGATAGAAGTCCAAATGCTGTCCTTTCCCAATGTTCCCTTTTCTTTATGCATGGAACAAGCATCTCCCCCACATTACTAACTGCCAGTTGGGAGGGTGGTTGTATTTATTTGTAACTATAGTCCTCTGCCTTTGAAACCTGCCATGTTGGCATAGGCAATTCCAAGGTCTCCAGGAAATCTGATCTTGCTGCTGACTCCCCCCCACCCACCCCCACCCCGATGCCAAACCTCCTCCTCCAAACTGGCACCCGAACACCCAAAGCCTCGGAAATAAAGTTTCCCCGTCCTTCCCTTCTTGTTCACCACCGCGACCCTGAAGGTGGTCCCGTTCCGTTTGCCTCAAGTCCTCCGGGCTGATCCGGAGGCGCAAGAGCGGGTCCCAATCGGCTGGTGGCTTTGCCGCTGCGCTTCCTATAAGGGGCACGGGGCGAGGAAGAGACTCCGGGCAAGCGGCCGGGCGGTTCAACCTCCACATGTTGCCGCCGGCTGGGCAATATATTGCTCCCCCGGGAAATCGTCTCCGGGGAGTCAACCGTAGCGAAGGCTCTTGAGGTTGGCTCTGGGGAGACTAAAACTACATCCAGCCCCTGACTCTCTGCCACCGAAAAGGTGGGGGGAAAGCAAGAGAAGGCGGACGTCAGATCGCGGCGCCGAGCACCGCAGTACTTACCTCGGTCCAGAGTGAGCGGCTGGACCGCTGTCAGCGTCGTCGCCATGTCTGCTGATCGGCTGAAGCTGAAATGACGCCGGGCTCCAGTATCGGGCGGGAGTGTGATTGGGAGCAGGAGTGGGGGGGGGGAGGGCAAGGAGGGGCTAAGGGGAGGACGGGGAGGGAGAGGGAGGAGGACGGGATGTGGGGGCAAGACCGGGAGATGCGTAAACGGTGTGTATGTGAGTGTGAAAGAGAGAAATGAGGGGGGGGGAGAGGTGGAAAAAGGGCGCGATCGAGGCTGTGCGCGCCGCCGCGGCACCACAAGGCAGCGGTCTGGCAGTGGGGGAACGGCCTGTTGGTAAAGAGCGGCGGAGGCGAGGCAGGGTCATCGCGAGGTCCTTGGCATCCCTGGGCAACGGCCGAGAGTGCAAAGGCTCAAGGGAACTCCGGGAAACCGAGAAGCTTGGAAAGGTTCTGCGGGTCTCCCTAGACGGAGGCATCCTTATTATGTAGGGCATCGCAGCAGGTGCTTACAAGGCAGAAGAGAAGAAGATCACCCGAGATGAACCAAGGAATTGGCCCAGCAAGCCTGATAAAGTAGCAGGGCAGCTCAGCTGATTGCAACCTGTTGCAACCCATTTCCTTCTATGTGGAGTCCTTGGCGCTCTCTGAGCTTGGTTGGTTGGTATCTTGCAGATGTTTTCCCCTATATTAGCCAGGGCAGGAGATGATGGGAGTCACCTATCATGCCTGAAGGTATCAAGATGATAGAAACTGGGGGAGCAAAAAAGAAGCTACTCACCCACCTCTTCCTGAAGTATTTACTATCCAGTGTGCAAACTAGAAACCCTGGAGACAAGTTATATATTAGAGGGCCTCAAGAGGTTGCTCTTGCCAGCAAGTTCACCTGTGACACTTCAGCACTGAGTGATCAAGTAATTCATTTCATCTGAGCCTGCCAAGAATTACCACAAGCTGAGAGCAGTAATGAACATCACAACTCACTCAACTGGAGGCATAGTCAGAGCAACTAATTCCAGATAACTCAAATTTATCAAGACAAGTGTACGCGCATACGTGCACATGTGTGTGTGTGTGTGTGTGTGTGCGCGCACACACACAGAGGAGGTGGGATAACTCTCCCCATCTTTAAATCATGTAGGGTTTTTTTTTAATTATCTTTTTGGATTTGATATTAACATATATATGCCTATCAGTATGGATGGAATCTATCAGAAAGAAAAAGGATCAGAAGTGATTGGAAGAAGGGGCCAATAAGATATATAACCATACATATCTGAAAACATTAACACTTGACATATGTACCAGAAGAGCTGCAAATAATGAGCTACAACTTGTATTAACATAAAATGATATGGAGCAGGGGTAAAATTCAGCAGGTTCTGACAGGTTCTGGAGAACCGGTAGTGGAAATTTTGAGTAGTTCGGAGAACTGGCAAATACCACCTCTGGCTAGCCCCAGAGTGGGGTGGGAATGGAGATTTTGCAGTATCTTTCCCCTGGAGTGGGGTGGGAATGGAGATTTTGCAATATCCTTCCCCTGCCACGCCCACCAAGCCATGCCCACCAAGCCACACCACACCCACCAAATCACGCCCACAGAACTGGTAGTAAAAAAATTTGAATTCCACCACTGATCAAATGTTTGTGTACAAGTACTCATAGATATCTAGACAAAAGTGGTGAATCATTTTTATAGCTTTGTATTTAGTGTGGTTTGATCATACAATTTAATCCATAGTTTGCAATGGATGAAGATATAATGCAGCTCATAAACTATAGTTTATAAATCAAATTTGTTGGGTTCAAAGGTTATGTTGCCATAAAAACAAAGACATCATATTGTTTCTCATAGTGAATCCAGCAACTGATGGAACAGTGAAGAGATTGGTGAAAATGCTTCCAAATGAGTGTATTATGCTGTTGTCCAGCTTTGTTCATCATACTGTAATGGCATCTCCAGTTTTTAACCTTTCCACTTGCTCTCCTCCTGTGTCCCCCTCTTAGTAGAAAATAAAACCTGTTAAGAAGGAAAACGGAATAATTGCAACATGCCCTCCAGCTAGAAGCATGACTGACTGATACCTATAATTAGGATTCTCTGAGTGAAAGAACTCAGCTTTAATGAAGGCAGCAAGCTCTCAGAGATTTCATTGAGACTTAGATCCATTTGTTTGCTTAATTTTTATTAAAGCAGCATAAAAAGACCTGAAAAAGAGCAAGCTTCCCTTTTCAGAGGTTGACTCCCCTAGTGCTACCTAATACTGAAATCCTATACTTATTGCCCAGAATTAGGCTAAGGGAGTTGCAAAGTAAGATTTTTCGAACTTACCAAAAATCAATGGCGTAGTTTCTCACTATTCTGAGGCATGAAATACATGAAAAATATAATACGAGTCCTAAAGTAGACAACATACGGTAAGTTTTAATTTTTTTTAAAAAAAGAGTAACACGTCAAAATTTCCTCCAAAAACTAGGAAAAAATAGAAAATTCTGGCCCTGCCCATATTTGTGATAGAGTCTTGCCATATTTGTATCACTGCTGTACTTACAAAGGATCTTTGTGTCCCCTAAAATTTTAAATGAGGCATCTAATTAATCAAAATTTATCAATCCACAATATTATACAATTTCAATTGTATTATATAATTGATCTTCTATCAATACTTTTAAGGAGAAAGAATTATGAGGAGGAATTTCTTATTTATTCTACAAGGGCTAAAGTCCATTTTATGCAAGGCACCAGTTTTGCAGGTCAGGGAAAGATAAAATACAAATTCTGTTTTCTTTAAACTATAATCCTGACTAGGAAAAGCACATTATCACAGAAATCCCCCCTTCTTTCCACCCAGACATTTATATAAGACATGCTGAAAGTACTATTCCTCAGATTGTTGTTCACCTGTTTTGCATTTTCCCCCAATTTAAAAATAATAAGTGCTTAGAACAAGAGGTAGAGTTCTTTGAGAAGATAGTCTTTTCAAACCTTCTATATCTGCTGTTAGTTGTATTTGAATATTATAAAACAAAAACAACCCCCCCCCCAGCTGATGCCATTTCACCCTGGATGTATTTTTCTACACAACAGTCATACATTAATAGAAACCATAGTGACAATGTTAAGTGTATTGTATTAAGTTACTTTAAAACCAATGGATCTCATTGGGACAGAAGTTTGCTTAACCCTCATTACTCTGCCATCTGTGTATAAATGTATGTACCAAATAAACATTTGCTTTTGGTCTTTTTATATATCAGTTCTACACTTCTACTTTGGAAGCTGCAACTTTATAATATACAGTACTACAGAAACTGAAGTAGAATTATATGCTTGCCAAGTGAATCAGTCTGTCAAATATGTATCCCTTGCCAACAAAACAATCTTTTACATGAAAGCATCAACCACATTGGTTTATAGCAATCCAGGTTAAGATGAATAAAACCATCAATCCTCCAGAGCTGTCTCAGAACACATCTTTGTTTATTAAAGAAAAGAAATATATTTGTAGTCAGTAAAATGGGCTGCTGTTATACAATTTCAGGTGTCTTTGTGCCCTTGCAGATTTACATCACATTTTTGTGGTACATTTTAAAGGGGTCCAGAGTTGCAAAAGGGCACAGCAGAGATTGTATAATCTGTGTATAATTTGTAGGCCATAGGTTGCTCCCCTGCAATCTGCTAAAAAGACAATAGAATTCCAACAAATTGTTCCAGGTTTCAATGAAAACTGAAGAACGGTATCTATTGCCACTTATGCGACATCACTCTTTAAAAACCATCTGCTTAAGGCTCCTTAAATGCCACCGTTTTGATTAGCTCAAAGTTCACAGTAGAAGTTGTCATTTTTGCTTTTAAGTAGGGCCACATTCTGTTCTGTGTTGGAAAATAAAAATTCTAATGATTGCCAGTTCTGATTTATAATCAGAGGTTTCTCCTGATAGAATGTAGACAGATGAGTTCAAAGACTGCTCTTTATAGCAAATAGCTAGACCAATTTCACTGAGGAAAATGACATTCAGCATGGCAGTTTTAACCGCAACACCTAGTTTAGATATTAAACCTATTTTTAATGCTGCTTTTAAAGAATTAAAACATCAGTCCATTGGGGAACTAAATGCATATCTGTGCAGTTCTGCATTGTGTTGTGATATATGGAGATCTAATCAAGGTCATATTTTGTTTGGAGCAATTCATATATAGTTCATTGGCTAACAAAAAGTATGTTTTACTAATGGGAGATAATAGGAGACATACACCATACAAGTCCTGTACCTCCCCTCTGCATTTTGCATCCTTCAGTCAGTCTTGTCTCATGGTGACTAAAGGACAAGTCCTTGCAGTTTTCTTGGCAAGAGTTTTGGAAGTGGCTTGTTACTGCGTTCTTCCTAGAGATGAGAGAGAATTGTTGACCCCAAATCACCCAGTTGACTTTCTGCCTAATGTAGGATTAGAATTCAGATTTCCCCATTCCGTGTCCACAAGACCAAACTGACTCTCTTACTGAAACAAAAAAGCAGAAAAACGTTTAAGACAATAGCTGGTAAAAGAACAAATTAGGAAACCTCCCATGTCACTGCTGTCTTTACTTATATCCTGTCTAGTTAAATTTATTTAGCTCGTTATCAGTTCTATACATCAGTTCTATACATTCTAATTATGGACCTGCTTTCTGTAAATTATAGGGATCTATTATAGCTGAATTTTATGGAGGAATGGACAGCTTCTTTATTTCATTACTTTCACTTGTGGCTTCATTTGTTAAATTTATAGCCTACCTTTCTTTAAGAAGGCATATATAATATTCTGTTCTCCCATCCCTAAAACAACAACCTTGTGAAATAGATTGAGGTGAAAGAAATAACAAGTCCAAAGTGAGGTTTCACGGTAAAGTGAGAATATATGTATGTATCTATCAGTGGTGGGTTGCCTCCGGTTCGGACCAGTTCGCAAGAACTGGTAGTAAAACCGGCGGGAGGTTCCGCCCACTGATCCGGACGTCATCATAGGTGATCTGTGCATGCGCGCACGGGCATGATACGAACCGTTAGTAAAGGTAAGTAAAACCCACCCCTGGTATCTATGTATGTTTGTTTATTTGTTTGTTTGTTTGTTTGTTCGTTCATTCATTCATTCATTCAGTGATTTGCCACCTACTTGTAGGACTTACCTACAAGTAAGACCTATGGATAATACTGAGTTAATTGGACAATAATCTTCTTTATGCAAGATTGCTTTGTAGTTTACCATATCACATTGTTTACCAGATCA